AAAAAAGGTACCAACAATACTTACCTTAATGGGTAATAAGATGTATGCGTTACTTAGAAGCATTGTATCTCCAAGAAGGCCGAAAGATTTGTCTTTTGCGGAAATTGTGGATAATTTGGCCAAGCACCTGGATCCGAAGCCGATAGTCATAGCCGAGCGTTTCAAGTTCCACAAGGCGGAACAGCAAGAGTCGGAAGCAATAAGAGATTTCGTTGCTAGATTGAAAAAGTTGGCTGAGACTTGTGAGTTTGGCGGTTATCGCGAAGAGGCGATTCGGGATCGATTCGTATGTGGTTTAAAGGAGCGAACGATTCAACGCAAGTTACTCGCGGTAGCGGACTTAACTTTACAAACAGCTGTTGAGAGGGCGTGTGCTGCGGAACTGACCGAAAAGGAAACCACTGCATTGCATGGAGGAAGTGTGGAAGAAGTAAAAAAAGTGGCAGCTACATTTCCTGAGTGCTTTCGTTGTGGAAAAGTCAATCACTCGTCGGACATGTGTTTCTTTCGCAAATCCAAGTGTCATGGTTGTCAAAAGGTGGGTCACATTGTGAAGAAATTTCCTGAGAAGCAGCAAAAACTTGAAAATGGGAAGAAAAAGTGGAGCGCAAAGTCGAAATTTGGGAAAAAAAAGGAAGAAACAGCAGAAGGTTCGTTTCGTCGAAGAAGATCTGGCAGTCAGGCAATCAGTGAGCGGAAGTGATTGACCCATTTTTACAGTCTCAGATTCCCGTGGAACACGTAAAGAGTTTATTGTACCAGTAGCAATCAATGGGAAAACTGTAGACATGGAACTTGACACTGGAACTTCTGTAACTATTATTCCCAAGAATATTTGGACTGATGTTCTCGCGTCAGAACCTGTGGAACGCACAGACGTGAAACTACGAAGTTATTCTGGTCACGAAATTCCTGTTATTGGAGAAGCTAGAGTTCAAGTGGCATACCGCGATCAAGAAGCAGTATTACCGGTTGATATCACAGGAAATGATGGTCCAGTGTTAATGGGTTGCGATTGGCTGTCCGTGTTGAAGTTGGACTGGGGACAGATTAAGCAGATTTCCTTAGAATCGGTTAACAAGTTGGCCTCGCTTCGAACGAGCGTCTAGTCCTGCAATTTTTCAGGAGATAATGGATTCAGTCATCACTGGTCTTCAGGGTGTTGGTGGTATTCTCGATGATCTCATTATCACTGGCTCAAATGATGAAGAACATTTTCGCAATCTAGAAGACGCTTCGGAGCGAATGAGCTGCATGGGAATAAAGTTGAAGAAAGAAAAGTGTGTGTTTATGAAGCCATCAGTAGAATACTTCGCTTTCGTGGTGGATCGTGATGGTATTCACCCATCTCCTCGTAAGGTTCAAGCTATTCAAGAGGTGCCAGTACCGGAGAACCCAACGGAACTGAAATCCTTTCTGGGATTGATTAATTACTATCGCAGATTTATTCCTGACATGGCTACCCTGGCTCAGCCCTTGAATCGTGTATTAGTGGAGAACATTCCGTGTAAATGGTCAAAACAATGTCAAGAAGCATTTCAGAAGCTGAAAGGCTTTTTGCAATCTACACCTTTGCTGGCACATTACGATCCAAAGAAGCCGGTGCGACTGGCAGTTGATTCGTCGTTTTTGGATTAGGAGCTGTGTTGTCACACATTTCTGAGGATGGCGAAGAGAAGCCGATAGCTTTTGCCTCCCGTACTCTTTCCTCGAGTTAACAGAACTATTCAATGATTGAAAAAGAGGCCTTGGCAATTATCTTTGGTGTCAAAAAGTTTCACCAGTACCTGTTTGGTCGACGGTTTACTTTGCTGACAGATCACAAACCCCTAACCTACATCCTTGGTCCGAAACGAGGGATTCCAGTCCTTGCCGTGTCTCGCCTACAGCGATGGTCCATTCAACTGGCAGCTTACACTTATGACATTGACTATCGTGCGTCTAAGAACCATGGAAATGCAGACGCATTGTCTCGCTTGCCTAGGAAAACCATTGAAGAAGCTGACAACTGGTCGATAGAGGGAGATCAAGTCAACAAAGTTCGAATTGAAGGTACACCCATTACAGCGACCAGAATCAGAGGCTACAAGAAGTGATCCTGTTCTGTCACGTGTCTTACATTACGTATAGCATGGTTGGCCAGCAGAAGAGAATACGCCAGAGGAACTCAGATTTTATCGCGCCAAACGTGAAGAGTTTACATTTGAGGATGGTTGTTTGTTGCGTGGTACAAGAGTAGTGATACCCTCAAGATATCGACAGGAAGTGCTGTCTGAATTACATTTTAACCACCCAGGAATGGTGCGAATGAAGTCTTTGGCACGATTGCATGTCTGGTGGCCCAACCTGGACGGTGACATCGAACAGACCGTGAGAGATTGCATTGATTGTCAAGCAAACCGTTGTAGGGCGCCTTTTAAGGTTGTCAACCCATGGATCTGGCCTACTCGCCCGTGGCAGCGTTTACATGTCGATTTTGCTGGACCATTCAATCGAGGAATGTTTCTTATAGTGGTTGATGCCAAGTCTAAGTGGATGGAAGTGATTCAAATGTCCTCCACCAGTGCCTGCGCCACAATTGGAGCTCTACGCGGCTTGTTTGCTACGCATGGCTTGCCGGAGGAGATAGTGGCCGACAATGGTCCGCAGTTTGTCGCAGGGGAAATGAAAGATTTCTTAACTTCCAATGGTGTTCGCCTGTGTTTGTCGTCACCATATCATCCTGCATCCAATGGTGAAGCTGAACGTGCAGTTCGGACATTTAAGGAAGCCATGAGAGTTATGAAGAATGGACCGGGTACCTAAATGCAGACATTGGCTCGATTCCTTTTGAGCTACCGAACCACGCCTCATACTGTCACTGGGTGTCCACCAGCAGAAATTTTGATGGGTCGCAGACTGAGAACCAGGCTTGAGTTGCTTAGACCCGACTTGTCTGCACGGATGAAAAAAAAGTCGAGGAGGATAAATCCCATGGTTCGATGCGGTTTTGAGATTGGTGAATCTGTCATGGTGAAGGATTATCGTAATCGTGGATCCGCTTGGATTAAGGGGGTTGTTCAAGATCGACTGGGTCCGGTCACATACCGAGTGCAAGTTGAAAAGTTGCTCTGGAAAAGACATGTCGATCAGTTGCGGGAACTAGCTGGCTCGAAGGTAGCCGATGTTCAGCCGAATATCTGTGAATTACCAGAGATCGATTTGCCTCAAAAGGTAGATGCAACTGTGTCTGTTCCAAATCAAGACCTATCGCCCCAACAACAGTCTATGCCGAGTGAGAAGTCTACCAAGCCCTGGGTTGAAGTCACACCACCTGGACAGAGTATTACACTAGAAGATGTTACGGATAATACTGTTCCTAAAGAGCCCAGACGTCGTTCATCTAGAATTCGATCGAAACCTAAACGTTTAATTGAAGAGATGTAGTTGAACATTGAACTCTCAGTAGAACACTCTCAATTACAGCAATTACACGTTTCGGAATAGTTTTCGCTTCGTTTTATTTCGCTTTGCTTATTATTCTGTTAATTTAATTTGTAGTTTAAGCGGGAGGAGATGTTATAGTGTTAATGAACTAGGGTTTAATTAATGTTATAGTGTTAATGGATTAGGATTTAAATAATAGGAGCCATCACTAGGTGTAAGATACATGACATGAGAGGTCCCAGGGAGTAAACATATATAGCTAAGTTGCATGCATATTGAGGTTGTGATATATTGTGTAACTGTAGTTTAGGTAGTGAATATTAAAGTTCGGTCGGCCGTTTTAACCAAGGATTGGCGTCACTTTTCTGCAGTAAGACACAACAACGTGTTTTATCGGGTCTAAAAACACGAGGCTACGCCTCGTGTTTTTAGATCCGATAAAACACTGCTGCTCGTTTTTTAAATAGTACCTAAACGAAGAATCCTGATGACCCACTGAGACAATTTTTATCATAATCTCTTAACCTTTAATTACTTACAGTTACATGCTAATTTGCGTTCATTATAGAAGTTCATAATAGTGTTGGACTTACTGAGCTACAGGCTGCCAGAAGCGACAGGTTCCCCAAAAGTGAGATCACTTTGAATGCGAGGTTTACATAACTCAGTCTTTTGATCGCTATAGAGATGAGCATTAAAAAAAAAAACAAAAGCAAAAACAAAAATCAACTAATCAATGGAGGATAAAAGATAGAGGAAATTTAAGGACTGCAAAGGGGATGAAAACTCATGCACTCTGTTAATTCGTGAAAGATACTGGCGTCACTCAAAGTTATTATCTTTTTACATGAACCTTTAATTTCTGTCTAACCCAGCTTAGGTAAAAAATGCCTTTAATGGTAAGAATAGATCTTTTGAACCCCTCATTTGTTTATTAGCCGCACTTGGACCCGAATTTTCAGGAATGGCAAAGTATCGTCAAACTTGTCAAACTTTTTCCCCTTCGAGCTGAACTGAGCTTTTAGCTGGTAGATTTGAGGATCTTTGAGATGCAAACATTTTCATTGAAAACATGCGTTCTTCCTAACACATTCGACAGAACAAGACAAAAGTAAGCTGTACTATACACCGAGAAAATGCATTTTGCTGAAAGGCAAATCTTGGCTTGGGTCATCGGCGGTTTCCTCCAGATGTTTATAAAGTTTAAGAGATTGCCAACTTTCACGAGAAATGAAATATGCTAATGCAAACTGAAGTATAAATAGAAAAAGGGAAAAAAGATCAGATATGATATAAATTGAGCTACCTGGAGTCGACCGACAAATTAAAGAAGCCTTATGAATTTTAAAACTAGGGTCAGTCATTTGTGATAAGGATGCTTCAAACATAATACATACTTGACCAATGTTAGCGTTTATACTATCATACAGCATCGCCAACGTGACTTTAGAGAAAAAAAATTGTATCTATTGGCCTATGTCAGTGTTTGACTTTGAGTTCGATGTACTTGTCACGGTTTGACTTAAAAACGTACAGCTTGTATCCAAGAGGTACTGGTTCGAATCTCATCAAAGCGTGATTTTTTTTGGTCAGGCTTCTTTTTTTCAATTTATTGTTCACTTCCGAAGATTGCTTTTTTACTTCAATTTATGATTTGCAAATGTAGAATATAAATTTATTGTAAACGAGTTTAAGAAAACCACAGAGCACAGTTGACGCAAACCAAACTACTTGAATGATCTTTTTTCGGCACAGTAAAAGTTATCAAGTTTACAGTCGCTCGTCCTAAAATGTCAGAGAGCGCAAATGCCTTAGCGCTGCAAATATTATTTGTACGCAAAATATTTGTATGGCTAGCAACTACATGATTGTGTTTTAACGGTTTTAACGAGTCGCGCCGAAAATCATGAAATCAGGTAGTCGACTAAGGTACAAAGGCAGAGGGATATCTCAGAGTTTTATATGATTAATCATTGTTCAGACTCACCAGGTCCAAGATTGCGAGAATCGTAACACCTTTGCGAAGACTGCAGCCGAAACAACAAGTTTTCACCAAAACTGCCATTGATGCTGTTGAAGTCCTAAATGTAATGACTTTCCTAAATGTAATAAAGTCCTAAGCGTAATAACATTGATCCTAAACGTAAAAAAGTCTTAAATGTAACAACATTTGGTCCTGAAAGTAATAAGGTCCTAAATCTGGGGCAGACCCAGGGGTGGTTCGATTGGTTCGGTCGAACCCCCTAAATCATCCCTCAAAAATCAAGTTTCCGAAGACCTAATTTTCAAAATCTCCAGGGGTAGCATGCCCTGGGGCAATTCTTCGAACCCCCCTTGACTTAATCCTGGATCTGCCCAAGTAAATGCAATAACATTTGGTCCAAGATGTAATAAGCCCCCAATGCAATAGATTAACTGCGCTTGTGCATCCACATTGAGACGTTAAAGTGACAACTGTTGCATCAGAGAATCCTCTGATCAAAATTCATAGCGTATTGCGGGATCGCTAGCTGATTTTAAGTAGCGTCTTTTTATCGCTGGAGACATAGGCCAAGAAGCATTGGCTACAAACCTTCATACTGATGTGCTTTTGGCATCAAATTGACAGATCTCAATAGAACGCTGACCAATCCGGCCATTTTGACCGAACAGGCTTGGTCAAGAGATTTTATATTTTCGACAAGTAATTTTTCACAGAGAAAAATTCGTTTTCTCTTCAGTTATCACGGATAATTGAAAATAGCCCCTTTATTTCACGTATCACGACTGGCATATCGTTCACGAGTCCTAGCCGATCAGCTTTTTTAATCACGATAAAAACAACCGACCACGTTGCGTAGACCCCGTTGGACATCATGTTGGAATACTGTCGAAAGTGATGACGCAGGAATATTGGCAGCTGAAGACTTTTGAAAATTCCCGCAAAATGTATACCCTCCTTGATATTAAAACTCAGTAAATGGTCTTCAATGCAACCCTTTGCCTCTATTTTAAGTTAGACTTTGAGAGATATTTCGTTTACCGCGCGAAAAGGTTGGAAAACGTTTTTTTTTTCCGCGATGAGCGATTGTCTCGGTATTTGGTTAAGATATTTACTTTCTCTTTTCTGGTGTGACTGTTTTAAAAAGCGCATAAGATATCTCAGGTCCGTCTCACTAACAAGGGAAATCGATCAGAAACCGACACCATGTAGCGATCTTTCTTGTCCTGTCAAGAAAGATGCAGTTTGCCTCGCGAACATTTATTACAGACATTAATATTCATCTATATAGTGATTAGTCTTGTTATATACCTACCTTGAAATTCAAGACTCTTGACGGCACACAGTGAGGCTGATTAGCGTAATAATTTATTCAACGGAAATGCGCAGTTATATCACGAAATTCATCCTGAAACTTGCTCTCAGTGTTAGGAAGGCGACTAAATCAAATTGAATTTACGCTCCGACTGAGTCTTTCTATTGTTTTTGAGAAAGAGAAAATGTAGCATGATGTGCCTTAGAAAGGGAAATTTCTATATCTAAAACTGAAATTTCTTTATTGAATAATTTCTTAATTTATACCGTCTTTCTCTGGGATATTTCGACTAAAAAAAACCTTAAACAAGGAGAGAACTTAATTGGTACATTTTATCGCATATTTCGTGGGTATTCGATCAAAAACTGACACATTCCCCCGAATCAACATTGCTCATACCTCCTTATGAAACGGCTGTAACAATGCGCTGAATTATTTGCAGAATCGTTTTCCTGTTCGTCAAAACAACTTTCCGCTAAACATTCTTTGAAGCAACTTGCAATGTTCGCCCGGTGGCGATCCCAGAACCTTTTGCGCATGACTGAAGGATGACCTTGAGAGGTTGACCTTGAGGATGACCTTGAGAACAAACATACAGAAATTCAAAGAAAAAATTATTTCAAAACTTTTCAATCTTAGCATAGGTTTAAAAATGAGCTATTTATAAACCAAAAATTTATTTAAAAAGTAAATATAAAACGTTCTCGACACTAGGTCACCGTCAGGGTAAATAAGCACCGTCCGCTAAATTACATATTTTACATCCTTAGGTAATTCCCGAGGGGAAGAGTTGAAACTAGGCTTCAAATGATTAAGCAGTATCACTAATATATATATTTAGCCAAGCCTAAAAGTAGAGTTCCAGATAGTTTATTTTCCAGCCTTCGTATTATTAAAAATCCTTGGCGCAACCTGTCGAAGAGGTTATTCAAGGAAATTTAGGGGTCTGTTTACGTGGGGGGAGGGGCAAGGAGGAGATTGGCGGGGTCAGGAGCCTAGGGACGACCACATCTTGCAAAACGATCAACATGCATGTTATTCAGCGGTATTTTCAAGCAGCTAAAAAACGTCGTCGATGTTCCTGAGTTTTTGAACGGAATTTTTGGAGGATAGGGAGTGTATTCTTCTTCAGATGTAATGTATGAAGTCAGTATCCGTTGAAATTATATTCTATTGAGTGCGAATGATAATTTCAGTTTAAGAAAATTAGCCAAAATTGAAAGAAGCGACGGTAAACAACTTCGAGTTAAGATAGATTTTACTTTCGGCTTAGTCAATGAAGGATTTATAATAAAGCAGAAAGATTTCGCTTTAATAAGAATCAAGAATGACTTGTTTATTTTGAGAGTCGAGAAAGAGAGCCAGCTGTGTTTGTAGCACAATAAACCCATGAGGGTCGTTTGATTTTTTCTTTGCTTTAATTATATTGTCTTCTGCCGCTTTTGTGACTTCGTCGCAGACATTGTCCAAAAGTTACAAACAACCGCACAGACGAGTAAGTCATTGTGTTTTAGAAGCACGGGGGTGTATTCCAAAACTGAACTTAAGAGTCTGAACCCGTGATTGATGCAGGTACTGGTCAGCGCACTCTTCCTTTTTGCCAGCTGTCATTTAATTCGGTCAGTATAACGGTCTGCAGCCAATGCTACTCGACTTGCATATAGCAACAGGACTTCAACAGATGTTACTCTTGCCAGAACGTCAAATTATGCATTTTTCGCCTAGTTGTTAAATATAGCCCTAACGGTTTTTCAAATAGTCTGTAACTGACGATGATGTTCGTAACATCGAAACATGTCTTCTAAATTAAAAAATGTCGCACTCTTCTTGAGGATAACGATTTGCTTTCTGCTGTCTCGACCATTTGGTTCCAAATAAATATATCGCGATCACTTCCAGTTTGTTCCTCAATGCAAGCCATTGTTTTGAATGACGCAAAAAGAAAATAAAAAGTTGACCTTGACTCTTTGTCTTTTTTTTCCTTTGCGGAAATAACCGGTTCTTATTTATCAGTTAAGCCTGGCCATAATTAATGAAAACTTGAAACCTTGCTAATGACAACTAAAATCCTCGAAGACTCCTGGCCTTGTAAATGGTTATCTACTAAAGCGAGAAAACAAGAGATTCATGACCAAATCACACCGCTCGGCCTTTTATAAGATTGCAAGGATCACCGGGTGATTAAAAAAAATTTCAGGAATTATTGCTGGTGAGTCCTAGCAAGGCAGCAGCCTATTCCTTACATTAGCGTAAAAAAGCCAAAATTGGTCGAATGTAAGATGTGAGACATGCGCAGTCGCTTGCGTTTTTTATATACGGGGTGCTTGTGATGACATCACGTAAACTACACGTGGAAATATAGATCGATTTCGAGCGTGTACAGTGCTTGTGGAAGTATCTATCAAAGTCATGAACGGTTTAGGGATGACTCTTGAGGAAGGCAAGAGATATTTTCGTGTTTGGCTGCTCTGTGTGACTGAGACATTTTTGCTGATTTGCGAATGGGGTGCCAAGATATCGATCAAGTCCTACTTCATGGAGAATAATTTTTTCATGGTACATTCAGCAGCAGTGAAGTGTTAGGCAAAAATGCTTTCATTCGGAGTAAAGTGCCAACAGCAGCTTCCTGTTCTCAGGAGAAAAGAGAGGAAGGTGTGAAGGCAGCCTGCTTTATGCCGAAAGCAAAGTTATTCACGGTATCCGTCGCCCGTTATTCACCGTTATTCACCGTTATTCACCGTTATTCACGGTATCCGTCGCCCGTTGAATTTGATCATTGGGTCAAACTTTCTGCCCGTTGAGGTAAATAATTCCACCAATGAGTTACGTTTGCCCGTTGAGGCGAAAGAAAAGCTTGCAATCATAGATTCAAAACGTGGATCGCTCGTTGAAGCTAACCGTTTCAACAAAATGTGGATTGCTCGTTGAAGCTAACCATTCAACCGGCAAACTCAAATGACTGTTTGGCCTTTCAGACTAATCATAACATTAGTATCTCCCCCAAGCTCTGAGGCCAGCACCGACTTTCACATTGAAACTTCTAGTAATAATTAATTGAATGAGGGGAGTGTAAATTGGTCGGAAATAATATGCATGGTTTTAAATTTGAACCAGCGCACGGCGAAAGTTTCATTTGAAATCACAAGCATTGTCATTCAGTCAGGCGAAAGTTTACACTTCATCACAACAATGTTGAAATAGCACAATTTCCGAGGTTTTATACAATATCAGTATTTCATTTTTCCTGCGGCCGTTTTAAAATATCGAGAAATTAGAATTCAACCTTACTGTTGACTGTTTATTTAGGAAAAGAGAGTTTTCTTCATCGATAAAACCGTATACCACTATTATACGGTTTATATTAAAAAACTGGGGAGAAAAGGGGAAAATGTATTGTCGCAGAAATTTTAGTTTCATAGTGGCATTTGAACTTCCCAAGGCCTCAATATAAAGGACTTGTTAGATTTTTATCCTGCAAGAGTCGCTAGTCTTCTGATGCCAATTAACTGCCAATGGGGAGGGGGAGGGAATCATAAAAAAAAAGTTTAAGAGCCCAATGGGGGAATCCGGTAAATTTTATCATGACACAACCAAACTCCTCCCACCCCTCCCGGGAAAAATATTATGACTCGTTCCTAAATACCAAATATTTAATTGGTTCTTTGAGTTAACGCCCTGGGGAGAGGGGACAGTGCCGATTTTCTCCGTTCTACGACTCGTAAATTCAGAGTTTCAGAGCTCTACCTGAACTTAATCTATTGTAATATCAAGAGCAGTTTTTTTAGCCTCGATTTTCAAAAACATATGAAAATTAACAGTTAAGATTACTAAAAGAAGTTTATTCCAGGGCTATTGCCAATAATACGATAGTAATGCAAAACATATAGGCCATCTTACTTGTACAAAATACATCTGACATGATGGAGACCCTCTTTTTTAGGGGAAAACGGAGGGGGGATCACTCGTCACCAACAGAGTCTAGTGCGGAAACAGAGCCCTATGGGGGATCACATGAATTTCAGCGGATCTCAATAGGGTTAACCCTAATCAGGTAACTCTCATTATGACACACTCCTCCCCCCTACCCCCTCCCCCTGGGAGATAGAAAGTGACTGGTACCTTAACCCTTTATCTTCCAAGAGCTGATTGTTAATTCTCCCACAATTCCTTGTAAATTGGTGACGACGATTTGATGTCACATTAAGAGACATCAACTTCCACCTGATAAGTTTTCGCATTCTCATTACCTGTTTGCTGTTTACATGTGTATCACTTTTAGGAGTGATTTTGAATGGGTTAATTCTACTTTCGATCGATCAGAAAAAAATGTTCACTGCATTTGAACAGAGTTGAACTCAGTTCGCGTTAGATGGCCTTTTAAATAGTTACAGATTGAAACGATGATCAATGATCACATAGGTCGGTCACATTTTCTTTTTCTTGCTGATTTTACACTGTGCCCTTCTGGGATACTGTGTATGGAGGGGGTCCCATTGCAGCCTGTGAAATGACAAAAAAAAACCACTTTAATAAATTATTATAACTTGGCTCGCTCAATAATATTCTAATATGAAATGAAAGTGAAAAAGTAAGGAATAAGAAGGACTCTTAATTGAAAATTTGATATATTTGTCTTCTCTGTAGTTAACTCAGTGCGAGCAGGCTCTCATCGGAAGTGCGACACGAGAGGTGAGGACCGCACGTTTAGAGCCTGCGCACGCGAACGATGAAAGCGCGAGAGAGGTTCTCAAGCAGTATTCTAACAGACCTCTTGTGTGTTCAATTGGCCGGCCGGCTTCAACTCTTTTGTAAATTTTGTTCAGTAACACAAAAACGATTCTCAATGAGGAGATGGTCATGTAGTATAAAACAATGGAAATGTAATTACCATCTGAGTTTGATTGCCTCTTCGCAGAGGGGGAGAAAATCCTGCATTCTTTCCCGATGGATCTTCACGAAGGGCTTCGATGAACGAATAAACCACCACTATGAAGTAGATCTTAGGAAAAGGAGGACATGAGGTAAGACCCAGGCCACCGTCAATTTACGAGTGAGAAGTTAGTTGAACAAGAGAATTGAGTGCTTTTCGATCAAGTGTGGTGAAACAAAGTCCAAAGTAATCATGACTACCAGTCAGAAGAAAGGAAATTTCCTTTAGGAGCCAACGAGAATTTAGAGTAAAAAAAGGGCTGGAAAAGGCAAACGGCTAAGTCATGATTGGTTTTGATTTTGCATCTGAGCGAAGTAAGACAAAACCATTCCAATCTCGAGTTTTTTAGCTTTCGACTCTCAAATAGAAATTGCACGAAGACTGAAACAGAACCTACCGACAGCAACCATCCAAGGCTGTAAATAAATAAAAAGACGGCAGACTGCAACGTAGAAGGAAATAGAGATCATGTTTAGTTTGTTGAAAAACTATCTACTAGCACTTCATTGAAAAAAGAAGCTTGTTTCAATTTACCACATTTCCGAAGGAAATATAAAATATGATCTCCCCAAGTATGAAAAAGAGCTCGAAGATGTTCCACCCAAGCCATGGAAATGCCAAACACCTGTCACCCTGAAACGGAAAAGAACGATGATCATTGACGTAAACGTACAAATAAATAAATATCAAAGTCAGCGCTCCATGCTGCGATTGTTTGGGTCGCCATGGCAAGAAAAAAGGAAAAATCGGCGACTGAATTTAAAGGCAAAGGCGCCAATATTACGATTTGTTTGGCCGTTACACAGCCAGCTCTAATAGACATTTTTGTCATTTTGTGTTTATGATGTTCTGTTAATTTGAGATAATCGTTCGAGTACAATACTTTCAATGCCTTTCTGGTGCACGATTGGTCTAGAAAACAAAAGAAAACATCCCACCCCACTGTTATTTGACATTTTCCCGTGCTTTGCAAGTTGCAAAAATATTTGAGGAATGATAAACACAACAGGCTCCATTTGGCACGAA